CCACAGGAGAAACCCAGGAAAGAGTATATACTCTTTTTGTATTGTTGCTTGGCATAATAGTTTTGGTGTACATAAAGCCATACAGTTCTGTGTGTGTGTGTGTGTGTATAGCACAATCATTTGCTTTTGTATGGAATTTCTCTAATTTTGATTTGCTTCTGAACTTTGGCTACACAAGAAAAGCTGCGTTGAACACTGGGGTGAATGCCTTTGTGTAGATACGGCCTTGCACTTCTCCGCTGATCTGTGAGACATGTGATCTATGGCTGGTGGATATATTACTCAAGAAACTTACAAATTCTTTCCAAGGCAGTTGTACCATTCATTGTTCCCACCGGGACCGTTTGAGCTAGCTCTTGGCATGACTTTACCCATACTTAGACATTCCAACAGATACGTTACAGAATTGCCTTGTGGTTTTACCATTTTATTCCCGGATGACAGGATATGCTGAACACACTTCCATGTTGTTACTTGCTTTTCATATATCAATGTAAGGCAACATCTGCTCAAACATTTCATATAATTTTTGATGCACTGGTTATTTACAATTGAATTTGAAGGGTTTTTTTTTTTTTTGCTTGTTTGTTTTAAACACTCTAGACTTCAGTTAGTCACAAGCTGCAAAATTAACTCTCCGAGTGGATTTTCTCCCGTGCCCTAACAGTGTCTTTTGAAGAGTGCAAGCTTTATCGTTGATTCAGTCCAATGATATATATTTTTATATTTTTTTAAATAAATGTTTATATATATATCCTGCTTTGGGTTATATATTTTAGAAATCATCTGCTTAGACTGAGATCTCGAAGTTTAGCACCTCTGCCGTCATCTGGAAGTTTTACTTTTTACAGTTGAACGTATGAACCATTGCATAGGTTTTGCACCTGCTGTGAGGTCTGAGACAAGCTGGGGACTTTAGCCACTAGTGGTTTGCTGCTTTCCATGTGGACACCCAATGGTTATCCATAATTTATTGCAAACATTATTTTTCCTCAAATGAGTAGTCTTCAAAAATTTTTAAAACATTTCTTCATATACATGTGCATAAAGAAATATATACACATAGATTTATTTCTATTCCATTTTGATTTTTAAATGTCTTTTTATTTTTAAATGTCTTTGAACTGAAATCTATAAATGTATTAATACCATTTGTTAAATGTTAAAAATTATAGAAATGGTAGTGATCAACCATTTTAGGTGAGGAATAAATTGTTTTCTTTTATTCTTTTATTCTTTTCTTTTATTCTTTTATTCTTTTATTGTGGTCATGGAAGGCTTTTTGAAGTGAATGTTACAAATTTAATATGTCAACCCCCGTAGATTCCTGTGTGGAAGCCCCATTGTCAACAGCCATATGGAGATGAGACTCCGGAGAAGTATTACTGTGAAATGAAGTCATGATGGGGACGTGGAGTAAACAGGGCTGGTACTCGTCCAAGGAGCACACTGCGGAGCTTCTCTCCCCCGCGAGCCCTGCGGAAATGCAAGCAGGGGATGCAGCCACAGGAAGGCAAACCACCTGGAAGAGGAGGACTCCCCAGACACTAACTCTGAGGACACCTCATCTTAGAGGGCTGTCCAGCAGAACCAAGACTCGATGCTGGTGTGCAAACCACCGGTCACTGACATCCTGCCGTCAGTAGGCCAGCGCCAAGGGCCCGGAGAAACTCTGGAGAGCAAAGCCTCAAAGCCTGAGCCCCTACTGAACGTGCTTGTGGGTCTCTCGCTCCCCTAAGTGGAGCCGTCCACCAAAGGCAAAAGGGCTCCAGCCAGCTGTATTTGACAGGAGCTTGTTTCCTCTTTGGCTCCATGGATGTGGCAGCATTGAACACATCCAGGTCAGCCCTGGGGAAACGTGATTTGGCACATTTCTTTCTACAGAGACTTACGTTCTCATTAAGACAAAGAAGCTGTAACCAGGGGGTGTGCCTGACTTAGCCAAAGCAAGAGAGTACACTCACTTTTTTTAAAAAGATTTATTTTTATTGGAAAGTCAGATACACAGAGAGGAGAGACAGATATTTGTCTGCTGGTTCACTCCACAAGTGACTGCAATGGCCAGAGCTGAGCCAATCTGAAGCCAGGAGCCTTTCCCAGGTCTCCTATACAGGTGCATGGTCCCAAGGCTTTGGGCCGTCCTTGACTGCTTTCCCAGGCCACAAGCAGGGAGTTGGATGGAAAGTGGGCTGCCAGGATTAGAACTGGAGCCCATATGGGATCCCAGTGTGTTCAAGGAAAGGACTTTAGCCACTAGGCTACTGTGCCTGGCCCGAGTATACTCACTTTGTAGACCAAAAAATAAAAGTGGCTTTTTTAGATTATAGCATGAAAACAGCAGCCAAGGTAGGGAGGTTGGGACACGTTCACTTTGAGGTGATTTGCTGGGAATAGATGATTTCACATTAATACTGTGAAATAAGAAGATATTAAACTAATATAAAAACAAGAGCATCTGATTTTATTGAGAATTGCTACTGCAAAAGAACTGACAGTACACAAAGAACAAATTGGATCTGTTGGGGCCAGAGCAATGGCTTCACTGGCTAATCCCCCATTGATAAGCATCAGCATCCCATATGGGTGCAGGCTCATGTCTTGGCTGTTCCACTTCCCATCTAGCTCCCTGCTAATGACCTGGGAAAACTGCAGAAGAGGGTCCAAAGCCTTGGGATCCTACACTCACATGGAAGACCCAAAAGAAGCTCCTGGTTCCCACCTTTGGATCGGCTCAGCTCTGGCCACTGAGGCCATATGGGGAGTGAAACAGTGGATGGAAGATTCTTCTCTCTCTCTCTTTCTCTTATTCTCTACCTTTTCAATTGACTTGCCTTTTCAATAAAAAATGAAGTAAATCCTTACAAAAACGCATTGGACTTGTTCACATTTGTTGAGGGATATGGAGAGAATTACTACAAAGAGATAGCAGGAATTAAAAAAAAAATAGCAAAAAAAGTAGATTTGGCAGGGCAAGTCCACACCACAAAGGAAAGGCGATGCTGCTAAAGGAAAAAGGTGCTCGCTTAGATAACAGAAAGGCTAAAGAGGAAAAGGCTTTAAGGAGACGACGATTTTTCAGAGTGACTGAATGAGCTGTTCGTTTAAAGCGGGAGAGACAGAGCGAGCAGCTCGCATCACTTACTCATCAGGGCTCACTGTGCGAATGCTCACGACAGCAGGCGTTGGTCCAGACCAAAGCCAGGAGCCACGAACTCTGTCCCGGTCTCCCATGTGGGCAAGAACCCGTCTGCCTAGGTCACCATTTGACACCTCCCAGGAGCCAGAGCAGGGAGCTAGGCCACAAGCAGTGGCAGGATTCAGTCCCAAGAACTCCACTAAGGGTTAGGGTACACCAAGCACTGGCTAACTCCATGTACCACAATGGCCACGCCAACATATTTTCTGAAGCATAAGGGGTCATAGTAACAGCTTTTCTTCAACAACCTAAGATGTATTTTCACTAAAGCTCTGCATTTGTTTTTCGTTGATTTTCATTTTGGAAACTCTATATTTGTACTGATTATACTTGTTTTTTAAAGGTCTACACTGACTTTAATTCTTACCTTTGAATTTAGATGCAGAATTGCTGCTACCCAGCAGGAGGTGACACCAACACGCCAGGAGCTCGGCTTTAAGGAGGGCAAGTAGACACAGAGATGATTACATTCTCATGTATAAGCTAGTAATGGCAAACAAAAAAAAAAATGCCCAGTTACTTCATTTGTGCCTAAATCCCATATTAAACTACAGTAATATAAGTCTGAGTGTATTAAGAGCAGCTGTATGATAAGTTGGACAAATGGTCTACCCTGGGCCCGTTTCGGACAGATACAGAGATGTGGATAGTGGTTAAAAGTTCCTTGGCTAATCTTAAAATTAGTATTTGTGAATCTGAATTTTGAGAAGTGAGGTGTGACGGTTGCGCACGTCCTTCATAGAAGCACCATTTTAAATCTCGGCTGCTCCAGCTCTGATCCAGCTCCCCAGGAAACCAGCAGCAGCCTGAGCAAGTGCGTTGGCCCCTGTCCGCCAGGTGGGAGACTGGGGTGGGCTCTCCTGGCTTCAGCTGCTATGGCCACCCGGAGAGTGAACCGGCAGAAGGAAGATGCTTGTGTATGTCTGTCCCTCTTGGTCTGCCACTCCACCTGCCAGATAAACCAACCTTGAAAGTCTTTCCCTCTCTTTGTAACCCTGCCTTTATAAATCTTAAAATACACACCACCGCTACCTACATACACATGTAAAACACAGAGGAAGAAAATAAATAAATAAAATTGTTCTCCCGTTTTTTGAAGCAGAGTCCTGCGGCAGTGCTGGGCCACCCCGGCAATGCACTTTCCAAATCCATAGGTACAAACAAAGTCTGCATTTGGGCCCTGACTCACTTAAACTGCCTGGCTCAGCACTCGACTAATTTTAACGAGATTCTGGGGTGTGAACTGCCACTACCTGATCTAATTCACACACACTCCCCGTATCTCCTCTGCCTGCCTCGCTGCCAAACACCCATCGTCAACGGTGGTCGCAAACGGGCACTCTGCCTCAGTACCCAGCCTTGCTCATTACTCAAATCTAAACTTTCCCACTGTGCAGGAAAAAAATGTCCAGGCCTCAGCTAGAAAGGGAAGCTGTCACACAAACAGGAAGGGTCCGATAAGGCGTTTATCAGAGGCACAAAAACCTTCCCCAAAGCAGGTACGGGGAGAAAAAAACCCTGTCAGTGAGGTATCTGACCCTGTCACAAGCTCTTTTACCTCCACTGGCCCTAGAATGCCGCACTCCGGTCACAAAGGAACGTAACGAAGTCAATATGTGGAAAACCTAAACATTCAACCTTCCCGCCCGTGCCTGGTTTCCATAGGAACCGCCGGTTCCGGCGCGTCACACTCTGCGCCGGAAGAAGCGCTCTTCCTGTTTCCGGCCCAGCGTCGGCGCAAGTTTTGGGCCGCCAGGGCCGCCGTTCGGGAGCCGGGGAGGGGCGTGGTGGCGCAGCCGTAGTCGGCGGCCGGGCTCACGTGCGGGCGGCCGGCGATCCTCTTCCTCGGGGTACCATGGTTCATCCGGAGACTCTGAACCTCAATAACGAGGTGAGCGACGCCCGTGGGGATGGCGGGCTGAGGCAGGTGGGATGGCGGCGGGCCGGGGTCCCCGGACGCCAGCAGCCAGCAGCCCTCCCCGTGAGGGACACGAGGTCCCGCATCTCCCGTTCTCGAATTTAAGTCCCTGTCCAGTTGCAGACTGGCCTTGGCAGTGTGGACTCCGGCCCCATCCTTCCCCTGCGCTGGCTTCAAAGTATGTGCATGTGGAATGAGTAATATGTCCTTGGTGTCTTAGCCTGGCTGCTAAGTGGTTCTCACAGATACTATTTCAGAGATCTTACAACTGCCGGAAAGTGTGTGTGAATTCGTTTGCTGTGCTTGTCTCGGGGTCCCTAGTGCGGTGGGCTCTGTCAGACTCGCAGCAAGTTCGTAAATCTGATGTTGCTTTGAGTGGTTTACGAGTTAGATATCCGTGCTTCGTTTTCACTGTGAAAGGCTTTTCATGATGGCTTGATGGTAACTTAATTTTATAAAGTTAATTTCCCAGATTGAATTTTGTGAAAATAGAAACCTGCCTGCAGACGCACTCATATTGTGTCAGCATTTGATGTTTTCTGCCCTTAATGATTGTGTTATTAAAAGAAAGAGAGAGAAAGAAAAACTCACTACGGAGAGTCTGGCTAATTTATAAGATTATTCTTGACAAAAGTCTTAAAACATGTATGTTCTTAGGAAGTAAAAGCTTTCCTTTTTGCTTCATCTGTGAGCTGTTTATGGAATGTTTTAGCTCCCTCAGTGCCTCAAGCGAGTTTTGAAAAACAGTATTTATTCTAGCATCTTTACTCACTTCTGGTGTGGTACCCTGTCTACACTACTGGGCAGATGACTGCATTAACCAGCATTCAAATGAAAGGCAGTGTCTCCGAAATGCTCGCTTTTCCCTTCCCTCTCCATTTAGAGTTGGAGAAGGGAGGATGCATAGGTTGAAGCCACAATGCCATTGCCTCCAGGGAATAAGACATGTGCAAAAGTAGCCCATCTCCCTAGAGACGTCTGATTTCTTTGAACAGCAACAGTGTATAAGGTCAGAATTAGACAGTTGAAGCCGTCTGAAGACATTCCTTATTTGCATTGGCGAGCTAAAGGCCTTTGGATAATGCTGACATGATTTGATTCTTTGGTAGCGTATCATTGCCGATCAGGCTCTTGAAAAATTGTGCTCAGGATCCAGCTGTTGATGCACAGTTTAAAGCGGGCTCAGGAGGCCTGCGCCCCAGGCTGGAGCACTTCCTGTCCTGCCTATGGTCCAGCTTCCTGCTGACACACACCTTGGGAGACAGGGGGGAGGCTCCTGTGCCTGGCCCCTGGGCACCCCCTGACTGTTGCTGGGCTGGGTGGACAGTGAACCCTCCCGTGGACCGGTTCTCTCTCTCCTAACCTTTCAAAGAAAGTGGAGGTAAACTTCTGCCAAAGAATTTCTCGACTGTTTCTGAGATAGCACTGTAGTTTGCTCTCCGTTTGTCCATGGTATTCTCTCCGTGTTTTTAACATGTAAGCAAGCCACACTCTGAAAGTATCAGATGGAAACTGCAGAAGTGAGCAGTTCATAACTTCTGAACTGCACAGGTTCTAAGCAGGGTGGCGAAGTATTGTCCATGTCATCCTGGTGTCCATTGCATCCAGTGACCCACTGTGAACAGTTGCTAACTGCCCTTACTGTTTGATGGTGGTGTTCCTTCATGTTCAGGGAGCCCTGATTTTACATATAGTGGCTTCTGAAGGCAAACTTTTTTTCGAATACGTAATTGTAACTGTTCCTTTTTATTATCCATGTTGTGTTACTCTCTTACTGTGCCCAGTTTGTAAATTGGACTTTTTCATAGGCATGAGTGTTTTGTGTACAGGAAAACAACACTCGGCACACAGGATTTGGTGCTATTCTGTCGTAGGCATTCATTGAGATTCTTAGAACATATAACCCCTGAACAACTGAGACTGCACAGTACTTCTAAAAAAATATTTTCCCAAGCCCAAAGGACAGATGAAGCAGATGAAGCAGATGAAGCAGTCTTCTGTCCACTGCTTCATTCCCCAGGTGCCCCCTACAGCCAGGTGTGGGCCGGGCTGAAGCTGGGACCTCAGAATGCCCAGGTTTGCCGCACGAGTGACAGAGCCAAGCAATTGGACCTTCATCCACTACCTCCCAGCACTGGAGAAGCTGGGATTCTGACAGCAGTGCAGATGGGCTGCGGGCAGCCCAGACAGTAGCCTCAGTTCCTGCAGCACGGTGCCGACCCCTAAGCAGTTTTTATCTGAAACAGTAAATCAGGGTTCTTCCACAAAGGAAAGTTGCTTGTTGAACTGTTAGGAAGTTTGGCTAGGTGGCAGCATTGACTCAATAATGGTTAAATCGTGTCATTTTTTTTTAATTGTTGCTAATCAGAAATAAATAAAACATGTAATGTAATAAATTACCATTCACGTGGCTGGTTGAGTTCTCTCTGGATAGTTAATTTTGTTAACGATGATGTAATAAATGTTCCTGTACTTCCTTTGTTTAGCAAATAGATCTTGCCCTTGTTAATGCTCCATCCCCTCCACCTTCTTGTCCACATCGGAAGCTGCTACTTTTCCGATGTGTATATCAGTATACATAGCATTGCGTTGTATGTTAATCATTTATATGTACTGTCACATAAGTATTCTGCAGGCTACTTTTTTCACCAGATATTTTCTGGTTATATGCATAATGTATGCAGATCTCCTGTGCCTTGATTCAAAGGTCCCACTTGCCACATACACACACGTATCTAGTATTTTATCGCTTATGCAGCGTTCTGTATAGATGCTATAATAAATGTGTGATTCTCTGTATTGTTAGAGGTGTGTCTCCTGGCTAAATTCCTGAAAATAAGAGTTTTGTTAGATTTTGCCAAATTTTTCTCCAAAGGGGGCATAGCAATTTGCATTTCTGTCTAGGTATCAATGAGTGCTAAGATTTGCTCTCAACCTGAGCCGGATCTGCTGTTTTAATATGTACATTCTCCAGGTGCGTAGATGAGTGATGAATACCTGGAAGTTTGAATGTATTCCTGAGATAGATTTACTGGTGTTTTTCTTGCAAATTTTTGTCTGTGTATTAATTCAAGTATGTAAAAAAAATACAGGTCAACAGATGTTAAAAAGCTTCCATGAAAGACAGAACATTCCTGACCAGAGGAGAGACAAACATAAACGCTCTGTATAATGTTAACAATGATGAGGATTAAAAGAAGACCAATATGTGGATTTCTTTCAATAGCTAGAAGCCACTGAAGAAAATTAAGGAAATATAAGGCATCGTATTTTTGTGTTGGAAATTTTGTTGGCTGTATTGTGGATAAATATTTGCAGAGATTCAAGACTCAGTGTGGAGAAATCAGTTAACCGAAGTTCAGCTAAGATAGGGGCTGGGGGAGAAACAGAAAAATGTGACAATTTTAAGATAATTAGGAGATAAAAATAAGATTTAGCTCAAGGTCCATCAGATGGAAATGAGGAATATGAGGAATATGGGTTCAAGCATGAATTTGGGGTTATTTTGCACACTCACAAGAAACACAAAATTGGAACTAAATTTTGTAGTTCCTGAAATGGGGAGGGTAAGAAGGATGTCCCAGAAGTGATTATAAATGTGTGACTCTGAACCATGATATACAAAGCATCAATTCAGTGATGATGTGAATACTGTACTACTATTGTAGCTGGTAATTCTTTATGACTAGATATGTCCATGTTTGGGCCTATATATCTATTTTGTATTCATAGGAGTTACTCATTTATTATTAAGTAATAATTTAATAAGATAATTTAAATGAGATAATAAATTGTCTAATGGGATCATTTAAAGTGTGTGTGTGTGTGTGTGTGTGTGTGTGTGTGTGTGTGTGTGTGTGTATGTGCAACCACACGTGCTCCAGCTATTCTGATGTTTATCATATTTCTTTTAAAATTATGCTGGCCATTACTAGAATTGAGTGCAAGGTGCTTTGTATCAATGAAATGATTTTCACGTATTTTCTTTTGCTAATTTAAACACTTATTCAGCAAATTATCTTTCTATCATTAAAGGCTTTACTGTCAACTGCATAAATTAAAAGCTGAATCAGACACGCTATCACCTCAGGGACTTTCTTGTGTCAGAGCCCAGAGAGACACACATGGCATCAGGGTGCCAGTTACAGCACGTGGGATTTTCTCAAAGCTGGGGCCCTCTCCCAAGTCCTCTGACATTTTCACACTGCTGATTTATTCCTTCACTGTTTATGGAAGAAATTTTCTCAAACCATGAATATAGTTAAACACAAATTGGGTTAAAATGGTAGTCTAAATCTATAACAATCACACTATCATTATGAAATTTTTTGTTCCTCACTAAAGTGCATTTCTAATTTTGGTTTTATTAAAGGTTGTGAAGATGAGAAAAGAAGTGAAGAGAATCCGAGTGTTGGTTATCCGGAAGCTTGTCAGAAGTGTCACTAGGCTGAAGTCAAAAAAGTTAGTCCTTTCAAGTAATGATTCTGTGACTAAGAAAATGTCAGAAAAACTAAGAAATTGATTGAGTTGTTTCTGTTTTTTATATTATAAGTTATTTTTAAATATTGATATACTTTTAAAAATCCAGTAACATCTCAAAACATTAAGATATATGGTTCTTTTTCTCATTGAATTGCTAAGTAATTTGAAGTCTTCAGTACCTTTTGGAAGTATTCAGATTGTTGCCCATGTAATGGTTTGTTAAAGATAATATTTTTGTACTGTTGAAATCAGTAGTGTTAGTTGAAAAATTTTTCTAGATAGTTCTTATTATTTCAATGTGAATGTTAGAAAGTCTTTGTATGTTTTGTTTCTGATTAATTTCCTGTTACTTCAGAAACATTTGAGAAGATGCTGCTCTTCAGTCAGTTGAGTTGGTTTTGGAAATTTTGGAACTATAGGTGTGGTTGCCCAGGATAGTAGAGGGTATTGGGGGTTTCCTGTTTTGACATTGATTGTTATTTTCTAAATGAAGTGAAAAACTTCAGTACAGCTTGAGTCTAAAGTTAATCCTATGCCAAATTGTGGTATTGGAATGGATTTTTTGCAGGGGTGCTGAAGATGCACTGCTAAAAAACCAGCGACGGGCCCAGCGATTGCTTGAAGAAATCCATGCCATGAAGGTAAGGGTTCCTGCGGGCGTTTTTCTGAAAGAGAGAGAGAGAGAGAGTTTGTGAGATAGCTGCTTCCTTGATTATTCCTCAGAGTTGCCCAAGACTTACTTGTATGTGTCTGCTCGGTGAAGAATGTAGCAAGCACACTTAAAAAATTGTAATATGTTTATACTTGCTCTTTTCTGTGTTTTTTTAACTGACCTTCTTAAAGTGCTAGACTAATTTGGGTCAAAATTCTGCCAAACTAAACTCCTCTATGTTTAATAATTCCTCATGCCTAAAGTTTTTATTTTTACTGTAACTTTAGGCACGAAGTCTAAATTAAGAGTTAAGATGTTCATGTTATTTGGGAATGTGGATGGGTGATATTGGTGGCTGACATCATGCTTTGCCTATTGCCAGCTCAATAAATTTTTATGTGGTGGTGTCAGCATTTTATTCAGTTCTGTAGTAACTTAAAATAAAATAAAATTAGTGTTGAACCAACCAGATCCATGTTTTTTTTTTTTTCAGCAAGACTCTGCACTAACATAATTTTTAGTTCTTCTCACTGCTGTACTTGGTGGAAACTTTCATTTACCAAATGACATGCCATTAAATGTCTGGAAGACTGTTTCATTACAGAACTTAAAACAACATTTGGTACCAGCAATTAACTTAAATACAGGGCTATTTTGCATGTATATTTTACTATTATATTTTTGTATAACTTCCAAGTTTTCAGTTAGATAAAAGAGCAGCAGAATTCTCTAACAGTATTTTAATTGAGCTGGATTATCTGAAATTCTCACCTTTCCTTCCTTTTCAAGTGAGGGTAAAGTGATTGACAGGATAAAGTTATCCCAGTTAACTTGAATAAAAACAGATTTAGAAAATAATTCTTTTTTGCCAGGTGTCTTTTATGTTAGTGTCTTGGGTATGTCTCCCTTCCCCTGATAGAACTGCAAAGTTCATGGAATCTATTGGATGCATCTTTTGTATTCCCCAAGTTATAATTCCCTTTTTATCCAGCCATTCACGAAAGTAAAGGCTTCTGTATTGGATTCCTACAAAAGCTTTTGCTTTTGTGTGTTAGAGTGCTTTTTCCCCATGATGTTTCTGCGAGAAATCAATCTTTAGAGACTTGCTTGGGTGACAGCACTAGGACGGGCAGTTAGGATTTCTTTTTTTGTGTTAACTGAGATCCATACTAAAGTTACATTGTATAAAATCACCTAAATTTTTCTAATTTTTGTCTAAATAGTCCTTTAAAATATACATATATACATATATATTTGAATTTTTTTGAATAGATAGTCTTTTTTTGTAGTAATAGATTATTCAGTGACTTTGAGCTACTGTGAAATTGTAGTTTTATTTTAGCAATGGAAAGAATACAGTATATCTAATAAACTTTTGTGCAGTGTATGAAGAGTTTAAGAACAAAAGGATGGAGCGTGCACTGGCATTGGGTTAGGCCAACACCTGCAGCCATTTGGGGATTGAATGAGCCAGTGGAAGATCTGTCTGCTTTATGTCTTGTAACTCCGCTTTTCAAGTAAAATAATAAATCTTTTTGAAAAGGTACTCATTATTAATAGTTCCCTTTTGTAATTCTCTATAATGAATCTGATTTAGTTAACAAGGAACATCCTGTTTGAGCTACATGTAGGTTCTGTTTTCTGCTAATGAGAAAAGGCAAGTTGCATTCAGTGATTGCAGTTCAGAAGTTTATGTATAAAATTACTATATTTCTTCCTAGTTTCTCTTTGCTTTTACCTGTGATTGTAGAAGGTCACTGGCTCAAAAAAACCAGAATTTATAGCCGGAATATGCCTTCATTTTATGAAAGATACAGTATTTGTGTTCCTTGAATTTATGCCAGTGGAGATAGTACAGGTTGGCTAGTGTGATGTCACCATTTTGTAATGTCACTTTAAACCTGAATTCAGTTTAAATGTAAAAACCAGAATAAAAATAGAACTGGAAAAATACTATATGCTTTACTTTCTTAAATGTCACATTACTTTATTGATGGGTTGTTTTTTCTTTCTTTTTTCAAGATTTGTTTTCTCTGAAAGGAGTAAATGGGTATAGCATTGTCTTAAAGGTTATATGCAATTCTCTAGGTAAATGTACATGGGAGTATCAAAGAGATAGTTACTGAAGAGTATACTCACGGTCTTTTTAATTAAATTTCGGGAAAAACCTCTACTTATTTTTTCCAGAATTTTTCCTTTGGGTCATATACCACTGGATTTTTATATTCCCACTCATGACATACAGTCCTATACTTGCTGTCTGTGATGATAGGGTATTTTGTTGCAAGATGACATGAAGAAAGTCTGAGATATTTTTAGAAATGAAAGTTTGTTTTTCTTGGCCAAGAAACAAAAATGACCTGATCTTTAAGATACTATAAAATTATGGGTTCTAATTTTACAAACTCAAATTTAATGCTGTTTTTAATGGTTTTCATATTTGTAACTTTGATGCTAATATAAATGAAGATTTCTGATAGTTTTTTCTTTGAAAGCTAAGTAGTTTTCAGTATATACAGATTTGTACATTATTTAGTTTGAGAAGGATTATAGAAGCATACACTGAAATTACTCAAAATGTGCAAGAAATCCTTCCCTCCATAGAAGAGAATAATTAGCTTTTACAAGTTCTGTGTTTTCTTCACATACACATGAGTTAGGAATCATCCCTGTCTTTATTGTAAAGGTTCTTTTTGTGTGTGAGATTTTTTTGTTTTTGTTTTTATTTGAAAGATAGGTTTATATAGAGAAAGACAGACAGAAAACTCTCCCGTCAGCTGGTTCGCTCGCCAAGTGACAACAGCAGCCGGAGCTGAGCTGATGTAAGGCCAGGAGCCTCCCCGAGGTCTTCCACGTGGATACAGGGTCCCAATGACTTCTGCCATCCTCAGCTGCTTTCTCGGGCCAAAAGCAAGTAGAGCAACCAGGACACAAACCAGCATCCATATGGGGTGCCGGCGCTTGTAGGTGGAGGATCAGCCAGTTGAGCCATTGCACTGGTCTCAAGATTTCATTGTTTTTCTTCCCCACTGCACAGATCTGTGTGGATAGGGGATAATCCACCTCCCTTCTTTCCCCCTCCCCACCCTACTGCCGCTTCTCTTTTCTATACTTATCTCCAAATCTCATTACAATTGTGTAGTCATTCATCTCGCCCTTAAAGGCTTAACTTTCTGATATTTAAATGTATCATGACACTTCTAGTGTAGGTAAAGAAACAGAACAAAGCAATGCAATGCAAGAACTATTCATCCCATCTTACCCAGTAAGAAACTGAGACAAGTTAAGCAGCTTGCCCAAGGTCATGTGGTTATGCTATAGACTCCTGAAGTGCACGTGAAGCTGGTGCTGTTGGGCGTGTTACTGTCCTGCTTCAATAAGAGAACTCTTGAAATTCATCTTCACTCTTCCTGAAGAAAGGGGCTTTGTGTATTTCTCACTCCTTCTGTCTTCTAGTTGCATTTCCTCTCCAGGGCCTTTAATGGGGCTTTTTTGTTGTGACTGTTGACGTGTGCCCCAGTCTAAGGGCAATAAAAGTATTTTATTTTAAAAGCTGGTTTATTGAGAGAAGAAGAAACAGAAATCTTAGTCTCCAACCTCACTCCCCAAGTGGCCGCAACGGTCGGAGCTGAGCTTGTCTGAAGCCAAGGAGCTTATTGCGGGGCTCCCACTCGGTGCAGGGTCCAAGGACTTGTGCCATCCTCTGCTGCTTTCCCAGTCCATAAGCAGGGAGCTGGGTCAGAAGTGGAGTGGTCAGGACTACAGCTGGCACCATGTGGGATGCCAGTGCTACAGGCAGCCTGTTCAGCCACTGCATTGGTCCCCATAGCGAGGTCCCAAGGCTGAGCCTTTTAACATAATGGATTGTTGACTCAGTCCATGTCCCAACACTTACCACTGTGTACGCAGTGAATACTGCCTGCCTAGCTGGTTAGGAAACTTAGTGTAAATTTTCTTACTTCTATTTACCTGTGGACACTGCGGATCCTGTTCTGAGTCTAGAGGTAAATGGAATACTACTAAACTGTTACTAAGAAGATTCTGTGAGCAGAAAATTTAATTTTTTATTGTTTTAGTATTAACTGTCAGGAACAGAGGTACACAAAGGGTCTGCACTTTGGAGTCACCCTACCAGTGCCCTAACATCTGACTTCGTTTTACCAGGCAGAAATCCCCTTGCTTCTAAAGCAGTGCAGATGCCTTGTTTTACTAACCATCTGTGTTCAACTTGTGACCTCTAAGGAGGATAAACAGGAAATCTAAGTGGCATTTTTGAAGATCAGTGTATAAAACTTCTCACACTCATGTAACAGCATTTAAAAACAGATCATCATCCTGAAATGCCAGCATGATGCGTGGAACGTTAAATCTGTTTGTAATAGATCATAGGTCTTGCTCTAGAACCTTTAATAGTACTGCATTTTTAATGGATAGGTATCATGAGTTTCATTTTTGAAAGTGTGTGGAGGGCCCAGCGCTGTAGCACAGCAACTGAAGTCCTCGCCTTGCATGTGCCGGAATCCCATATGGGCACTGGTTCTAATCCAGCAGTGTCACTTCCCATCCAGCTCCCTGCTTGTGGCCTGGGAAATCTGTTGAAGATGGCCCAAAGCCTTAGGACCTTGTCCCCACGTGGGAGACCTAGAGGAGGCTCCAGACTCCTGGCTTCGGATCGGCAAAGCTCCAGCTGTTGCTGCCACTTGGGGAGTGAATCAACGGACGGGAGATCTTTCTCTCAGTCTCTCCTTCTCTTTGTATACATGCCTTTCCACTAAAAAATAAAAATATTTTAAGTATGTGGAAAAATTAAAATGTAAATTTATATGGCTTTCAAAATTTCTTGCATTAAAATAAACTGAACTCTTAAGTTATTTTTTCTACATACTTTTGCAAGTACTCTTATAAAAGTAGTATCCATTCTGTTTTCTGATTATTTGATTATATTTTAAAAAGAGGACATGTTAAAAGCCTTAGCTAGTTGGCAGTGAT